GCCAGTTAAGAAATCCTCATATGCACTCAATAAATGGGAGCATGAGGAGAACAACTCACATCAACATCTGAATTTCGTGGGGATGGGCTACGAGACGCAGCAGCCCGACCTCGTGGAGAAGCACTTCGAGGGGTTGGAGACCCACCATCACGGCTGCGTCTATCAGGGCTTTCACCTTTCACAGGGGAATTCTTACGGGGGGAATAACTCCTTCGAGGTTCCAGGCTCCGCCGAGGGGAGGGACTGAAATATCACCAAGACCATTAAAAAGATATAGTAACAGCAAGAAGACAAAGCTATCAGCTTAAAATTGACAACAATGCACTAATAAGCAAAGATGTAAACCTATCCCTAGATCGGCTGCTACTTCGCCGCTCATCATCATAACGGCTTCTACCACGTCCTCTGGAGTAATCAGGACTGGCACTGCGACTCCTGCTCCTTCTACGATAATCTCTGTCCTTTGCACGGTACCTGTCACGGTCTGACCTGTCCCTGTCCCTGCTTCTGCTCCTACTTCTCTTCCTAGAGTCCCTATCTCTAGAGTCATCTCGGTACCTGAAGACATTAATTAATAGGTTCCACACCAGGAAACAATAAAACAACACGGTGACAACATGCTCAATCACAAGCATATACCACCAACAAAAACCCTCTCCACCACAAAATTTTGCAACTAGAGATTAAACCAGAACAGAAACAGCTAATTTGACATTAAAGTGCAGAAACATATTTTACTAGAGAAAATTTCAAAGGGTAAAAAACCATGAAGTGCTATTGTAACAAGAAAAAAACAGTAGATCATAGGGAAAAGAAAAGCATAAAAGGCATAATTTTGTAGAGAGCAAGCTGATGACAGCAGAACCTATCAATTGCAAGAGGTTCTTGGGATCGAAATGCATATAGGTGCTAAGGGACATTCTAGTTACCTCAGAATTCAGAGGTCAGAACAGCTACCGTACTATAATAATCTTGGGAAACTATATTTATAAAACTAATCAATAACTCACTTAAAAAAAGAAAAGAAAGCGCAAAAAAAGATACCTTCTCCGAGGGCTGCGACTTCTGGACCTGTGCCTTGATTTTGAAGGCGTTTCAATAATCCTTCCCTTATGACTGATACAGAAATAGAGAGGCAATTCAGAATCCAAGGAACTATAAGCATAGCAGCTACAATTAAAAAATCAACACAGCAGTTATCATAACAAACAATTCATGACCCGGAACTTACATCCTCTCAGCCTTGGGCCCATATTTTGCAAACTGAACTGTTATTTCGCGACCATCAACAACCCTCCCTGAAAAAAAAAAAAAAAGCAAAAACCTTAAAAAATCTAATACGCTCAACCAGATAAAAATGTAAATAAAGAGGAAAAGGGAGTATACCATCTAGCCTGTCCACTGCCTTCTGAGCTTCATCAGCGTATTTGTACCGCACAAATGCAAAGCCCCTCGATTCCCCAGTTCTAAACAACCAAGAACAACAACTTTAAGGAAAAAAAGAAAAAAAACAGGAGAGAGGATTGTGAAGAAGGTGACAATAATAACAACCTTCGATCTCTAGGGATGAAGATGTCGACAACCTTGCCGTACTTGTCGAATAGCGGAAACAGATCATCAGCAGTAGTACCTGATAACATAAACCAAATCATACATCATACACACATAAGCAGACGGAGACAATGAGAGGCAGGGAGGTAGTGGGGCTTACGGAAGGTGATGTTGAGGACGAGAAGAGAGTATGTGTCGGCGATGTCTGGAGGGCCAGACCTGCCGAAGTGAGACATCTTTTGCAGATAGAGTTAGGGTTTGCGGTTCAGAAAGAGATTGAGAGAACTTTCTTGAAGAAAATCTTGCTGGGGTTGTTCATATAGTAGATTCATCGCCTTATTTAGTCCTTGTACTTTTGTGATTATCTTGGTATGGTACCTTTACTATTTTTCGTTGAATTATGTAGTCAGTGTACTCGCGAAGCTCTTTTAATTTGGCCAAAAGTAAGGGTGATAATTCGAAAAACAAATTGTTATTTCAAAATATTTCTTTCATTATTCGAATTGGCAAGATAGTTTTTATTTTTATTTTTTAATTATATTTTTTCATAATTATACTTCAAAAAATCCATGCTAAACCCAGCCCAATTTAATTTTAGCTTCATCATAAATTAATTAATGAAATAGTTATAATATGTATGGGAAAGTCTGTAACTTTGCTGATGTTATTTTTAATATATTTTTTATCATTATTTTTTTAAAATTATTTTTATTAAAAAAATATTTAATTTAATTTTATTATAAAATTAGTGTGATTTGCAAATTTGTTCATGTAACTTAGATTACCCGAGTTGTTTATGTTATTTGTTTGGTGTGGTTTTATTATTATTTTATTTTTATTTTATTTTTTTATAATTTATATTTTTATAAATAATTTAAAAATAATTTTTAAAAAAATCATATTATTAAATTTTATAAAGTATCAAAAATTAAAGAACGTGGAAAAATTATTGCTCGCTTAACACTCATTTCAATGTAGATTATAATCATGATGTATATTGTTTTGCTTTTTTTTTTTCAATATGTTTTTGTTGATTTCATCTTTTAAAATTAAGGATGTTGAGAATTTAACTCTATAATTTATTTATTTTATTTTGTATTTATATAAGGTTGGCATGGTTTATAGATCTGACAGGGTAACTTAAACTATCCCAGTTTATAATTTTTGCGGGTTATTTTTTTAATTGAACTTGATTTTTTTTATAGTCCATTTTTTCCCATGCAATTAAAAAATAATTTCAAGAAAAAATCATGTTATTAAACTTTATAAAGTAATAAAAATTAAAAAGTGTGAAGAAATTATTGTTTACTCACACATATCGCATTATGAATAACAATAGTAATCCACAAAGTTTTACTTTCTATTTTTTTCTTTATGTTTTTGTTTTGGAATTTTTATTATGATTTTTTTTTATTTTTTCTTATTAATTTCATCTTTTAATATTGGTATAATTGAAAATTTGATTTTATATTTTTATTTGTTTTTTGTCTTTTAATTATTTTTTATTTTTTTTATTTTATCTTTTAATATTAAATTGTTGAGAAATAGTCTGCATCGTAGATTTTTGTTTGTATTCTATAAGGATAATTGTCTTAAGTAAGTGTCTATTTTTAGATTAGGACTCAATCTGGCAAGCATTTATTTTTATTACATGATTAAATAAAAAAATTTATAAAAAAAGTTATTCAACCCAATAGAATTAATGACTCCCATTATGGAGGAAACAAGATCGATCTAATGTATTGTTATTTAAATATTTTATAAAAAAAATTGTTATCTTAAAGTTTTTTTAAAGTTAATTCATGTTTTTATTGATTATTAAGGTATATTTGAATCTATAAAATTGATCAATTTAAATTGAAGTAACTTTTACATTATTTAATTAAAAACTTAAATTATATAAAAAGCTAAATTGAAAATTTTCAAAATTAATCCATGTAATCAAGTTTAATAATATAATTAAAAAATTATTTATGCTCTTGATTTTTTTTAATTTAAAAAATAACTGACTTAAACCATGATAAAGTGTAAGTTAATATACCACTATACTTTATTTCATGAGTTGAACAAGAATGTATTTGGTATTGCGATAGCTGTTGTGATTGTGATTTGAAAAAAAATATTTTATAAAAGTATTTTTTGTTGAGATTGGTTTGAAAAAATACGTGTTTTGTTAAAACTGTGATTGAAATTGAGGTTAAACAAAAAGTAATTTAATGTGTTTGATTAAGCATGTTTTTGAAATTAATGTTATAAAATAATTTTTAAAAATCTATATTAATATTGATGGTTTTTAATTTAAATATTATAGATTTAACTATTATTATTAAACCATGAAATAAATAATATTTTATATAAAATATTTTTTATTATTTCATTAAACCATCTACAATTTCATTATGTATAAAATTCATCCGATAAGAACTATATTTTCTATAATTTTATAAGTGTGTAATAAAATTAGATAAAATATTATCATGTATAAATTTGATATTACAATGCGAGTAAATTTAATTCACTATATATTAATTTTTTGATAAAAAATATTGTTCATATTATAATATGAATGAATTTAATTCATTCTAAATTATTTTTTTAAAAGAAATATTAAAAAATTTAATATACTGAAAAAAATTAAAATTATTCACATGAACAATGCAATTCATTTGTGAATAATACAAAGAATCAAAATAAATGGCAATGTTCAACAAACAATACAATTATTTTATACTGTGCAAATAAATAATCCATTAATAAATACTGTTTATATTAATTATACTATTCAGTGAATAGTATAATTAACATGAATAGTGCGGGGAAATTTTTTTTTTCTTTTGAAACACAAAAGTAACGTAGAATCTATAAACAGAAAATCTCATTTTATATTTACTAAATGATTAAAATCTATAGATCCAGGAAGAAGAAAATAGCTAAAATAACCTTACACATAAAAACGTGGGAAGCCTTGATTCACTCGATACGATCATTCTCTCTCCCTCCCATAATCTCTCATCACTCAAAACTCTCTCTTTTTTATGCTTTCTTTAACTAGAAAACGAAGAATTGAACACTTAAACAGAGTCAGATACTCGTAAATGGAATCATCATATTAAATTCCATGACAGGTAACATGGTATGGAAGCTTCATTTATTGTCTTTTTAATTAAAAACCTTCTCTCTTGATTTTATTATATGGATATGTTCTTTATTTAAAAAAAATGAGTGGAGAGATTATGAACCACAAGGTTATTGGGTTGATTTTGATAGATTTTAATGATTATGACTGGTAAAGTTCAAAGCTTTGGATTGATTTTTTTTTTTTTGTAGATCTTGATTTGCTATTTGCAGGTTTGAGGTCACAGTTTGACATTCATTCTGGTGTTTTTAGGGGGGAGTGGATGCTAAAGTTTGGATTTTTGGATCAATTATTTTTATTGGGGTTTACAAAAGTTCAGGGGGTAAGAGATTGCATGTTGCTGATATGCAATTTCCTTTATGATTTGTAGAGAATTTGATGTTCCATGGGGAGTTTCTGGTGCATTTTAATCAGTGTTTGGTATAGATCACACCTTGAAGTCATAATATTTTCCAGATTCTGCTGGATTTTGCAGTAAATGATTACGAAGATGGAGGGTCAAACAACTTTTTCTGATGGGTGTTTTAGCGTCTGAGGTATTATAATAGTATTTATAGTTATTATATAAAAAACAAATTTAGAAAAAATATTTTTAGTTATGAATATTTTTATTAAATTATTAAAACAAATATTTAAAATATTTAGTTAAAATAATAATTAAAATTAATATTGGTAATATAGATGGAATCAGGATTATATAAAAAAGTTGCCGGAAACACATACCTAATAACTCTTCAACGAATTTAGTCGGGGGGGGTGATGGGATTAGAGGAGGATGAGGAATACAATCGCAGTTGCTGTGAAGATAAAAAGGTGTAGAAATGGATTGAAGAAATGGCCAAGGAAAAGCTCAAAGAAGATCCTAATGAAGTTTTAGAGATTTTTTTGGAAGAAAGCGTAGTTGTTATTATTTTTTAAATATTTTTTTATTAAAATATATGTTAATAATGTTTTTTATTTTTTAAAAATTATTTTTGTTATCAATACATTAAAATGTTTTGAAAATATTAAAAATATATTAATTTAAAATTAATAAAAAAATAAAAAAAATTAATATTTTTAAAATATAGAAACAATCAATTCCTCGCTGACGATGCTTTTCAAGGGGACGTGAATTGTTGAAGATTGGGAATTTGGTTTTGGATTCTCGAGTGGTGAACAAAGAGCTGGAGCGTCATGATTTTGGCAGCAGGTGACATTTGTTATCCTTACAGAAAATATGCATGCTTACATCCAAATCTACAGTAATTATTGGCTTTTAAATTACCCAGTACATATAAAAAACATGGTTTTTCTATTTAATGGATTTTCGTTGTTCATATGAGTAGTAGTGGTGGCTTTTTATTTCCCATTCTTTTTTTCATTTTTATTTTTGTCTTTTTTTTATCAATTTCATCACTTGTTATTTGCTTGATTTTATATTCGTAAATTATTTCGTTTTATTTTCTAAAAAATTATCATAGTTTTTAATCGCTTGATTTTATATTCGTAAATTATCTCATTTTGTTTTCTAAAAAATTATCATAGTTTTTAATAAATATTTAAATGTTTGATTTGTTCTTATTTATAATAGATTTTACAAATATTTATTTTTGTTATTGTATAATCAAATATAAAATAGTTTTTTTGAAAACAAAGTTTTTAAACTCAATGGGTTCCAACACCTAGATTATATATTTAATGAATTAAGTCGCAAAATCCGAATATATCTAATATGTTAGCATTTCAATATTTATTTTTTAAAAAGTTCATTTTGATTTGTTTTAAATATATACCATGTTTTTTATTGATTGTTTAGTTTGCTTTTGAATCTATTAGATTTAGTGGGTAACGTCAAGACAACTCACACAATTTAATTTTAAACCTCTGTTAAATAAGAAATCAGGTGGAAAAGTTTAAAGGTTGATCTATGTTAAGTTTAATAATAATGTTAAATAGTTCGTTGACAAAGCGAAAACAAGAATGCTGATTTGAATAACATAAACATTGATAATAATTTAATGTCTCAAAGATTTAATGGTTTCACTGTTGGGGCATAGTATTATATCAAAAGCCATATTTGATGGGCACAATGCTAGTATTCTTATACTTTCCATTGTTAATCTTAAGGGATAAAAGGAGGCTAAGTTAGCTAAAAGATGATTATTGGTTTGAGAACACACGATG